TTTTTTTTTTTTTTTTTTTTTTTTTTTTTTTTTTTTTTTTTTGAGTTGTGCTGTGTCTTTGGGTTTATTTCCATCACTGCTTGTTTTGTTTCTGTGATGTAAACGCTGGCTTTATATGAGCTGATTATGGGTTGTTGCAGCGCTTGTCCTGGAAATGCGTGGTGGTGTTTCAGCAGCATGCTCGGCCTTTTCTGTATTGTTGTTTCTGCATGACTCATCTTCAGAGCGGTTTTATTTATACCTATGGTGTTTTTATGAAAGCAGATGCTCCAGCTCTTTTGTAGTCTTTCGTGTGTTTTACGTTATTTTCGGCAGCTGATGTTTGTTCCTTTTCTCTCTCTCTCTCTCTCTGCGCCCAGGAGAGGGCCGCCCAGCGAGCCGACTGTGGAGGCTCCAGCTAAACCCCTGCTTCCTGATGAAGATGAAGCTGAGGAGGAGCATCTTGATGAAGCTCACTACGACTCCTTGGAAACCTCGACGGCCACAGAGAGCCCCTGAGCTGCAGCACAATTATTTTGCTTCTCAATGAAGTCCTCAAAAAAAAGATTACATTAGCAGAAAAAAACAGAGCTGAGATGATGTGACGTAAACAGATGCTCGACAACCCAGACAAACTTTTGACTCCTTCTGTTTGTAGATACTTTAGGTACAAATGGACACGAACAATGTTTTATAGTCGGACTAAAATTTGAGTTTTGTATATACTTGTTTGTAGATGTAGCCAGTTATTTAGAACCAAAAAGGGCTTTAATGGCATTTTCAAGGTGTTTAACCTTTTCGCCCTTGCTTTCTTACTGCCTTCATCCAGAACAACAGCGCCATCTGTTGTTGCTGCTGAAGCACTGCCACTTCCTGAACCACTAAGAGAGCAAACCGATTATTTAAACAAACTGTTGCAAAAGTCTGTGAAACACTGTTAAGTGAGTAAAACGTCTTCAGCTCAGAAAACACAAAATCTTATGGTTAGATATTTATGTTTAGATATTCTGATCTGGTTTCTGAAAGCTTTGAGCTGATAATTAGCAATGTTCAAATGATTTGTTTCCAGTCTTTCTGCCCAAACGGCCATTTCTTATTTACGATTGAAACGAGATTTTTACAGCGACTATTACAAAAAAAAAAAAAAAGACACTTCACTATGTTTTTTCTGACAATTACATAAGAGTAAAACCGGTATCGGACCGGGTCGGAACCTGATGCTGTCTCAGCTGAGCCTGTGGAGTGTTTCCCATTGTCTAGGTTAAAATGCACAGATGTCCCTTGAAAAGATGTGATTCTGAAAGCACTATGTGTTGCTCTAAAAATGCTTTCTAGATTTTTATGCATCAGTGCTTTTGCCAAGGGAACGGATTCAACCGCATGTAGAGAACCTTAACAGGGTTAGGGTCAGTCTTCTTTTTTTCATGGTAAAATGTATGAATGTAATTCTGTTTTTTGGAGCTTAACAAAACGATCCTTTGTTGTTCTGTCAGCTGTTATCAGATGACCAGGACAGACTCGCTCACTGACATTCCTTCAGATTTCATTTTAACGGTTCCATAATATTCTCTACTCTCTTCTAATCTTTTTATCAGAAACTTTTTTTTATAAGAAGCTTAACTATTTTCTTTCACATTCACTTCCCAGCTTAAACTCTGTAGACCAATCCATCACACAGTGACTTGTTGATACGTCCTACTGAACTTCCTTTTTGTATCCTGGATATTTGACATTTGTTTAATGCAATTGTGAACAAACAAAATTTAACAAAACAAAACCGATTATTATGGGTCTATATTGTCTCCAAGAAAACAGTTTGGAATATGTTTTTTCCACATAAAGATATTCCAAAGTTTTTTTTGTTTAAAAAAAAAAAAGCTGTATAATCTGAATTTATATCCAAGTTGACTTTCAAAATAATGTAAAGCTTCAGTTTATTGTTTTTTTTTGTGTCAGCTGTGGTCTGAGTGTTCAGCCTTAATGAAATTGGTAATTAAAAATATAAATTTACTTGAACTCTCTTACTGTCAGCGATGTAGACAACTGGTGAGGCTCTTTTTTGTTAGTAATCCATGTTGTAAACCATATTTTATAGTAAAAAAAAATTAGCAGAGAGCAGATGCAAAAGGAAAACAAATACTAGAATATTGCAGTTTTTGATTGGTTCCACATTTAGTCTTCAAGTAATGTCATTGTGGATTGTTGTTGAATTGTTTTTTGAGCATTGAAAATGTACATAAATGTGCTAGACAGTATTGGCAGTATTGACTCAGATTAGCCCCCATGTGTCAGTATGTTGCTCTGTATTTATGTTAGAACAATATGTGACCTCTAGTGGTTGGACGTGTTGTGCCAAATGGAGTCTTATTTGCTGCCATTGAATTGTTTGGTTAGAATAAATCTTCACACCTGGCTAATATACAGTATTATATATAAAAAAAAAATTATATTTACCTGTTACCAAAATCATTTGTTCTTATCCCAAATCCTAAAAAGCAAAATCAAGATGAGACTTTTTGTTCCACTGAAAGCTAAAAACCAACCAGAAACTGATATGAAGTTTTATTAGATGTTTTCCATTCCAGTTCGTTTCTCGTGGTTACAGGTGCTGCTGCTGAAGAAGAATGGCAAATATCTTAAATTAATCATTAAACTAACTGAATGAGAGAAGAGTAAAAAAAACTAACAAAAAAATCAGCCACTGAAAGTAGAGCAAAAGAAGGAAAACCTTTAAATAAGGCATACTAAATATATGATTTGTGTATGATATACATACACAAATGTGTGTGTGTATATGTGTGTATGCAATAACTAAATACAATTGATGTTCAAGTTGACTTTCAGATGATTATTAAAATACCTACACTAAAAATGCATTTAAATTTCAGCTTCATCTAAAAAAAGTTAATAAAATATGAATGATACTCGATGTTTAGGTTATTTTATTTTTTTAGAAGACTCAGACGCTGCCAGTTCATTTTTAACCTTTTTTTGTTTATAAATTAATCGCACTGATAAATACTTCTGTTTTAAACTTGGCACACACAACTGTTCATTGTTAAAGCCTCGGCGTAAAATGATGGCTACTTCAGAGTAAATGGTAGTTTTGCAAATATTTGTGACTCAATCATAAACCCAATGTCTGTTTTCCGATTTAATGTATAAGAATAAATCAAATCTACGCAGTTTGTTTGTTTTTCTTTTTACTCTGGGAAAATCATGACTTTAATTCGCTCATTCTTTGCTGTGTTGCTTCTGCTCATTAAAGTTTGCAGATCTCCACCTGCTCAGTTCTCTAGCATTTTATTCAGGTGGAGGTCTGGGCTTTGACTAGACCATTGCATACTATTCACACCTGACTCTAGAATACTGACACAAAGAGGCTTTAAAGGTAGAAAACTCATCTGGCTTTCAAAATTAGTCCAAATGATCTGCCTTTTACCACTGTGCTTGATGGTTATAAAATATTTGTGCTGGTTTGCTGTGTGGTTTCTCTCCAAACATGATGCTGTGCATAAAGCTATTACCTCTAGTTTTCTCTTATCTATTCAGAGGACTTTGTTCCTCGAGTCTTCTGGTTCAAATGAAATGCTACAAACCTAAACCATGCAGCTGGACTAGCCAAATTTGATTGGTCTCTTTCTTTTTGTCTTGCAGTGAACTTAATGTTCTAAATACTAAGATCTAGGCTGCGATTGAGCGAATTTTGCGTTTAAACATTGCATCATTTGAGTTTCGGTCATTCTAAATGAGCTTTAAAAACTCCAGGGAATCACAGATTAGTCTTTACTCAAATAACACTTTGAAAAAGTCAACAAAAGCCTTAAGCTGTGTAAACCAGAGTTTATTTATATCTAATAGAAAGTACAGAAAGTAATGATTTCAACAGTTCAGAGTGGGGGAGGGGGCACATATTACAGACTGAATCCCAGTCCTTCTCCTGCACATTCCTACAGTCGGTTCAGACCAAAGCTGCCATCTTGTTCCTCACCTCGGTCTTTGCTTTGGGGTGAAAACAACACCAAGTTGTACTTGACCCTGAAACACAACACAACATGTCTTTGGCAACAGTAAACATAGAGATATTCCTTTATTTCGTCCGTTCCCCTGCCTCACTAGCTCATCGATACTCAAAAGTATTTTTCTCTCAATACAAAAATATTACAGACAGCCATCGAGATGTTTCTACACTAAAGTGTTACAGAATCTTAAAGCCCCAGAAGGCAAACACATAGAAGACACTACATGTTGGTTTAAAAGCAGAAACCTGCATTTTAATGGCTCTGAAAACGCACCGGGGTCTCTTCTCTCGTTTGTTTGTTTTTTTTAGATTCAACACAAAAATCACAGCATTGTCACACTTCATGATCAGCTGAGACAATAAATCGGACTAAACTGTTGTAATCCACGAGTCCAACCCAAAAACAATATGGCTCGGGTTTTAAATGGTTCTGCTAATCCCAGAGTCGGAAAACAAAACTGTAGCCAACAATCAGCAGGTTACAGTAATAACAGAGTCAAGTACTTTCTTTCTTTACCACTCCTACAAACCAGTGACGGAGAGCAAACCCTGGATGTTTCAGAGCGTGTCCACTGTGAATGTTTAACTAATTGCAGGAACATCAGTCTCTCTCTCTCTCTCCACTGTGTTTCAGCCTTTATTGCAGAAGTCCAACCCAGTTAGACTCTGATTGTTCAGTCAATGGACCAGCACCGTCTGCTATAGGAAATAACATGTCATTTAAACCATTATTTTATTTCTACTAGGTTTTAAAATCCAGAAAAAAAACCTTTCCAAAAAAGTGGATGGATGCATTTTCTTCTAGGTGATGTCAATTTTTGTGGACATAGTCGCCAATCTGCTGACAAGAGAAAATATTACAGGTGCTTTTTTAGTGTCACTATGTTTTTGAAATACAACAATTTAACCAGAAAATAAAACAAAACAAAAAAAGCTGCATTTGTTGTATCTGTTTGCAAAAACATTAGTTGGTTCGGTAACGCTTTATTTGACATGACACTGACACAAACATGACAACACCTGTCATGAGGCGTCTCCATGAATGGTTATGACTGTTGTCATGAAGTGTCATTCAGTAAATAATGACACGTTTAGTGCAAAGCTGACATTTTCAATTGAGTTTTCATGCTAGTTTTAATGGGATTTTGCGTTAAAAGTTTCATTATTTACTGGATAATGCAAAGTTGACACTTGGACGAACTTTTAATGCAACTATTAGGACACCTTTTCATTAAAAGTGTCATTATTTACCCAATGACACTTCATGACAACAGTCAAACGTTCATGAAGACTCCTTCGTGTTCATAACAGATGTTATGTCATGTTTATGAAAGTGTCATGTCAGCCTTATGCAGACCCCTTCAAATAAAATGTTACTCATGGGGTTTTGTCACTTTCACTCAGTTACTAAGAAACACAGTGGAAACTTCAGACGGTCACTTTGGGCTCTGGAGCTGCAGGTTTCCAAACCCTGATCTAGTCGTGAGGACTAGTAAGTGACAATCCAGTCAAGTCTTTAGATAAATCTAAGGTAACCTTAGATTTAACTTTTTGTTAAAGTGTCTGAAGGTTGACATGAGAAATGTATTCTTCTTTGACCTTAATCAGACTTTTTTTATCAAGCCAGCTGTAGGATAGTAATGATGTTTTTGGTGAATTACATTTGTGACTGAGAACATACCTGGAAACCTTTCACTTGCAAAGGTTTCCAGCTGCTGAAATGTGCTTTACAACTGAATTTGAGAAACTGTCTCAGTTGAAACTGAATTGGTGATAAAGTTGTGTAGAATGAAGCCAGACGTTAACAGATGCATTAGTGCAACGTCTGTGGTGATGAAGACTGGTCTAAAAGGTTCAAATAACCCCCAGTTATGTTAATGAGCTTTGGGTGATGACCAAAAGAACAAGTCCACATGTAATTAACTCCTCATGCAGAGTGACTGACCTCATCCAGGCAGAAAGAGGAAAGCTTTTGGGGTCCATTAAGGATCTGTCCCACTAGTAGAAGTGCAGGCCAAAGACCGGCTGGACCTCAACACTCTCAGCTGCGTTAGGAAACGTCTTAAAGTTCTTGAAAGAAAAAGCTGGGGAGGTCTGAAGGTCTCTGATAAGAGGTTAAAAATGGATGGATGGGTTATAAGGAGCACAACTGATTCTGAGGTGATCTGAAGTTTTAAGATGAAAGATGTAATCTAGGAAAATCAAAACAAATCTTTTTAAAGTTGATCCCAATGATATAGTTGTGGTCATAACTCTGGCTTTCACAGAGCTGAAGTTGTTGTTCTTGACGTAGCGAATCACAAAGTTCCAGAAACGCGTCACCGCAGCTCTGCTTGGTGCTGCTGTGCCAACCTGGACTGTGGATCAGTGAACATTAGAGCTTCCCATCTGCTCTGGAGTTACAAGATCTTTGCATCAATGTGATGAAGAACCTTCATGTGTTCAGATTAACCAGAATAAAACCCGTCTTGCAGGCGAATCGATTCTCAGCTTAGGCAGAAAATATACAAACACGAAAAGCTCCTGATGTTGGGTATAACTAGTGTCTGTTTCTCTTTGTCCTGAATCATTCTTAGTGGTTTTTAGGTTATTGAAACTACAAACTCTTAAAGAAAAGTAATTGAGTTACCTCTTACTTCCAGCTTTTGGATGTCATAGACTCGGTTTGGTGGCGAGGACGTTATATTTGTAAAACAGAAAAGTCTCAAACACTAGTTCATAGCAGACAGACGGTTCAGTCTATGACCAGACAGCTTCGTTTCCTGTCACACCACAGTGTCCGTTCTCTCTGAATGAAACCAAGTATTAACATTATATTACTTGCGATGCCTCAAGCGTTCGTGATGTTTATTAGTACAAGTAAAACAGTTGCTAAACAGTAGAAAGTCTTAAGCTGCTCAGTCTTGTTCAAGGTGCTCGTCCGTTGTTGAAAAGCCACAAAGTGGATGTGATTTTTACTGGGCAACAATCTGGCAGCAGTTTCGTTTTCGTCCCGTTTCAGTGAAGATCGGCTCCACGTTGTCATGAATGAAAAAAATTAAAAAGGTGGCAAATGTGTCCTTTTATGCCTTTGATCCAAAAATATACAGGGCTCCTTAATAGCCCTAGTTCATCTTTCATATGTCCTTCACAAAGTGTAATATTCGTTGTCTTTTCAGTATTCTAAACTACTCTCGGGTTACATGTTGGTGAGAGGGCTTTAGATTTGAAGTGTCCGCAGGCGGTAAGAGGCACTGTCTTGTGTTTGGAAAACCTGACATTACAATAATAATAATAATAATAATAATGATAAAAAAATCTGAAGTCATGCTAAAATAGGTCCAGCTGTTGTCACAGAGGCAGTGAAGATCCACCGCTTTTTATTCCTTATCTCCATCTTCACTGCTTCCTACAAGGACAGAAACAGAAACAGAAACTGAATTTTACATTTAAACATTTTATGTTTGCTTTGAGTTTTATAGAAGGTTAGAAGGATCTGTTCTTGGTCGTAGAGCCAGAAAAAGCTGAAGTTGACTGTCCTTTGTGAGAAACAGGGGCTCCCTGGTGAGAGATTTTTCAATCTTAGGGTTATTATACCTCGTAAAATTATCTGTAACTAGTGTACAAAGAAATAAGATCATACAATTGTAAATTAAAGAAACCCACGCTATTCTCACCTCTGTCTTCAACTTAATATTTCAGTCGTACAGCACACCCCATGACTGCATGATTCCTTTCTTTAAGCTCCTAGACCTTTTTTTTTGCATCCTACGACATGCTAACTGCTTTTTTTAGTTGTTTTTTTTCCCCCTAATTTTGTGCGATTGTGCTAAACAAAACTTAGCTTTGTTTCTGTTTCCGTGTCCTTTAGCATTCAGTCATGATTCTGCCATAAAGGCAGCGGAGTTGTGTGCAGGTGGTTGAAGCCACCAACCTCCTGCCGAGTCCATGTCGGAGTCGGAAATGTGAGTGATGGAGAACCGAGACACGTTGGATGGGGAGACGGTGAACCGGGACAACTGGACGGCCGGTTTGGGCTCCAGAGCCTTGGCAACGGCGCGAGGTGGAGGGGAGTCGGCTGCTGTCGAGGATGTAGGCAGAGGAAGGAGGGGAAAGTCGTCCTCCCACTCAAACCCTGCGCCTGAGAGAAGACGGTGGGGAAAGGTTTCCTATTGTCTGATAAAAACTTCATTTCTAGGAACAAATAAATGCAAAAACAACAAACACACTCACTCTCCTCCGAGACGTTCCCATCTGAAGAATCATCTGAGATATTAAGTCTTTGCTGGGGTTTTCGTCCAGAGCTCGAACCCTCGGATGCTAATGGGAAGCCGTGCTCAACCAGCTCTTTAGTTGGACTCTCCTGGTGAGGTAATATTAGGAAATGATTACTTAAGGAAGCAGGCACAATACAGAAAACCAAGGATGCAGTGAAAAAGCTTAGTCCCCCGCAAAGGAACAACCTTGAGTAAACTTCCTATATTTTAGCTTTACATGCAATGAGAAATCAGAAGGAACTGGACGATGTTTCAGCTGCATTGGCCCTAATAATTGACACCAAGGTGGTTGGAAACAAAAACTATCCAGAAACTGTCCGCCATGCACTACCAAAGAACACTCTTCAGTGTGGAAGTTGTTGCTGTTGGAAGAATGCTCAAAGTTAGATACTTTCAATACCAGCGATGTAGTTAAGATAAAGTTAAAAAATGTTTGAGAAGATATTAGAACCAGGTCTGTTTTATTTTTATTAGATGATTACTGCATGCTTAGAGCAAAAGGACTGTAATATACTATGACATTTATTTACTGCAGTTCCTGCTAATGCCTGATGCTTCTTAGCATCAGGGTTTTGGCATTAGCTATGCTGCTCAAATGCATTTTGGTCAAAACTTTATAAAAACTTGAAGTTGGAAATCAACCACAAAAGCTCTTAGCAAGTTGAACATCCCATTTCCACTTCTCACCTGATCGAACAGATAGACGGTAACGTCATCAAAGAAAGACACCGTCTTCTTCTTATGGTCCTCCTCCGGATTCTCTGCGGCCAGGCTCGGCATCTTGAGGAGGCTCCGCAGTTTGTGAGCCTCGCTGTTGTCGCTCACCACTATGGGCACTGGGTGGCACTCTTCCTCACTCTCCTCCTCCTCCTGCATGCTGTAGCTTCGCAGCTCCTCATCCGACTCATCGCTGTCATCGGTGTCGGCGTCCTCCTCGTCGGCCTCCTCGCCGTTAGCGAGAGACGATCGGCCCTCTGTTGCAGCAAGTGGAGGTTGTGGGCTGGATGGAGAGACTGGTGAGGAAGAAGAGAACCTCCTGCTGTTGGCTGTGTGCTGCAGCGCTACCTCGTCTTTCGGTAAGACGTGCAGGATTTCTCCGGACATTCCCAATGGCCTTTTGTGACTTGTTTTCATCGGCGTTTCCTCGACTTTGCCGGCCTCAACAGAATCCGTTTTGTCCTTCATGTCCTTCTCTTCCTTAAAGCTGGAAGCAGAGTCTCCATTGAGGGCACCAAGCGCTTCCTCCATGGCCCCGACCACCTCAGCTGCCCAGTCCCCTAAGGCTGAACTCTCTTCATGAGATGGCCATTCATCCAGCATTGCCTCTGCTCTCAAGGCAGAATCTAAAGGTTCCTCATTCTCCATCAAGCTTGCCCCTGGAGGAAGAGATTCTGCTCCGCCTTTTGGATTGTGGTCCACTTCAAGTTTTAAATCTTTGTTCACCACACCATCTTTTAGTTCTTCCTCCTCTTCACTTTTTCTTTTCTCTGCCTTTTTTCCTCCGACATGCTGTTTTTCTCCATCACTGTGATGATCCATTTCTTTCAGCTGGAGTTCCCTCTCCTCATCTCGACTTTGCTTTTCATTCTCATAATCTGAAAAGTAGGCAGAGTCTCTGTACGGAGTCTTGTCACTCAGTGGTAAAAGAATGTGGTCTTCTGTCTGTGAGCTTTCCAAAATCGAACCTTGACCCAATGATGGTTGAACCTCTGCTTTATCCTCTTCCTCATGGTTCTCCTGAACTTCCTCTAGACCGCCATCCAGGGTAGGCTTTCCCTGAGGTTGTGATCGGGTGTCATGGGACTCTTTGGGGACAAACTCTGGACTCTCGTTATTCTCTGTATCATATCCGCTGTCCATGGCTTTAGGTGAGCTGGAAGGGTGGGAAGAAGCAGGGCTGAGACCTTCACAAGATCCAGCAGCAGATGGCAGATCCATTGAGTCCATGGAATCAGGAGTTCCTACCTGCTTCTGCAAAGATTTGAAAGCAGGAGACGCATTCAGCTCATTGCCCTCATCGGCAAAGATGCCTGAAGTCACGTCAGTGATGTCGTCTGTTATGTCTTCTTCCTCGTCGCTGCAGTCAAGGATGTCAATGAGACTTACGGTGGAGCCGGCCTGGTCCACGCCGCTGTCGGCTGTGTGGCTCAGCTCCGACTGGGGATCTGTGATGGAAACCATCACGTGCCTGTTGTCAGGAGGCGGTGGAGTGTTTTTAGTCATCGTCAGAGTCACCTCTTCTTTTCTAGGTTCTGGTGGTTTTTGCATGACCAGATTTTCTTTGATTACTTCCTCTCGCTTCTCTGTAAGTGCCGTTTCTTCAGATGAAGGATTAATATAGTGCTCTTCACAGTCATCAGCCTTTATCAAGGTGTGTTTGGAAACAATGGGACCCCCTGGCGCCGGTGACAGATTGATCATCTCCTCACTGCTGAGAATATCGGTGGTCTTGTCTGTGATGTAGTTGCTGTGACTGTAGCTGTGACAGTAGTTGTTGTTTCTCACTAACAAACCAGTGAGTGGATCAACAAAATGGGTGTGGCAGCACTCTCCAGATGGTGGCACCTGAGTGTCCCCTTCATGGCACAGGTAGATGTAGGCATTGCAGTTGTCTGAGGGCACCATGGTGTGATGTTTACTCAGGGTGAGGCAGGCACTGTTATCTTTGGCCTGGTGGGGCTCTAAATAGTCGATGGGTTTGGGCAGAGAGTGAAAAGCCAGGCTGTGCTGGTCCGGCCAGGTGTCTTCGATGTCCGTACTTGGCATGGTGTAGTTGAAGTCGGTGTAAGAATCCTGTCTGCAGCTGTGGCTCGCCCGCCTGTGGTGTCCTCCGCTGCTGTGCCTGTGTTTCGAAGGCCACGTATTGCAGGTGTGTCTCTCGAGAAATATGTCCTCCTCTTCTTCTTCTGTGTCGCTGTCTCTGTGTCCGATGAAGAGCGCGCCTCCGGTCTTCATGTTGATGCTGACCGAGTGGCTGTTGTGTCTCGTGTGACTAGGCATGGTCTTCCTTAAAGAGCCCATCATGTCATAGTAGCCCCCTGTCATGTTCTTCCCTAAGAGAGAGGTCTGGCTGGTGTCCAGGTATGTCTCTCTGTAGGCCTGTTCAGGTGGACTGGTCACAGATGGGGATATACCCAGAGGATTCTCCAGTTCTCCTAAAGCCTGACGAAGGCTTCTTGACCCCCAGCTTTCTTGGAGATGCTCACTGGAATGCTCACTTCCAATCAGATAGGGATCCATTTCTAAAGGAGGGGAGTGCTCATAGTAGTAGCCCCCATCTCTGTCTTTGTAGGACACATAGTGACTTGACTCCCATGGTCGAAGGGGGCTGCTGTCTGAAACCTGACCTAAAAGAGGCTCCATTGTCAAGGAGATGGCTGGACTTGAATCATTGGAGTCATACAGATCAGATTTATGGATGTCAGCAGACCAATAGGGACCCATGGTTTTGGTCTGTGATGGGCAGGCCATGCATTCACCAGAGTCTGCACTACCAGTCAGGAAGCTCCCACTGCTGCCCTGGTAGTCTGGGCTGTAGGAGCACAGGTTGTAACCTGGATCCATGTTACAGTCCACAGGCTCCTCAATACGGATGTAATATTCACTGCTTACTGAGGGGCTATGGGCGCTGAGGACGGGGAGCACACTGGGAGGATGCAAGTGTTTTGGTTGATAGTAGGTAGGAGAAACTCCGTGGCTTAGGCTCTCCATGGGACATCCTCCAACAATGCCCCCTGGTGGATAAAACACTTCTGGACAGTGATGGTTGGCCTGAGCACAAGTGCTTGAGGACTCTTGGGATATGTAGGATGGATCTGCTCTGGCTTGCTCCCACTTGTACTCAAAGTTCAGGCCGTGGCTGGTCTCTGTGACCGTCAGTATGTCATCTCCAGACTCTGAATGGTAGCAATCACCAGATGAAAACTGCTCCAGTAAAGGGAAGGAAGAGGAGGTTAAGGAGGGCTGGTCTCTAGATATTGTTGAGGCGGTGTGGTGACCGTTGAATCCAGCGTTGGGACGCAGCGAGTTCCAGCGCCTCTCAAAGTCCTCTTCAGCCTCGCTGGCCCCTTTTGCACACAGATAGCTGAGCAACAGGTGGACTTCCTCTGCATTGGGTCTCTGGTCAGGTTGGAGCCAGCAGAATTGCATCACTTCATACCTGAGGAGCCCAACAATGAGAAGGGAAAGTGTTCAAAGTTAACCTATAAAACTGACTAAAAACAAACGTGATAATCTGAGCAAGGAACTTGGAAGTAATTTCACTGAGCTGTTCTTGGCTCTGAGTTTTGTTGCATTTTGTCTTCCTCCCCCATGGACATGCCTGTATCTGTGTGTGACTCACCAGCGCTCAGCCAGGGGAACTTTGAGCAGCGGCTTGGGAAGTCGCAGTTGTTGCTCTCTTACGGCATACGTCAGGACCTGTCTGTCAGAGTAGTGTCTGTAGGGCTGGTTTCCCAGCTCAAACAGCTCCCAGATGGTCACACCAAGAGACCTGGGAGGGCGAGACAGCGTGGACATCCACCTTTAGATCCCCACAGTCTCATAGCATCCATGCTTTCATAATGTAAGATTTTTTTGCTGAGCTGGTTGGGTCAAATGGCTTCTCCATTTTTAGTCTTTTTTTCTTACATTTCCTCTTTATCTGGTGAGAAAACTAATATTGTTCATATGCAGCTGCAAATACGGCCCAAAGGATTGTGTTTGATCGTAAAACTGCTACTTATGTTAGTAACAGGTCCAACGCACTGATGGTGCATCTTTTGGATGAAATGTAGATTTTCTGCAATTCTCAGGCAAGCTTTTCAATGAAAATTTTCTCTGTGAATCCAATAAAATATATCGGCCGCAGGCTGTAGATGTAGCCAATAAATTCTCTGCAATGATTAATAATTTACAAGCAGTTTGTCTATTGTAGAAATGTGCATATTCTGCAACATAAGCTCCGATACTGTGCTGCTGGTAGCCGTATAAATGAATAAATATATCCAAGCTTCTTTCTTTGCCTTGCAGCAAAAAAATACTTCTGATGACTGATGAAAGATTCTCCCACTAAACATGTAAGCAAGTTGTTCACATGTTGTTGAAATAATTGAGATGTATTAAAAGTTGAACATAGAGTTTGAACAGATTGTTTACACAGAAGAGGGTAAAATGTTTCAGAGTTTTGCTAACAGGTTGATTTTTTATTTTTATTTTTTATGTTTTGCAAAAAATATGGAATTAGCTGAAATTATGTGTAGAAATGTCTGTGTTGTGTTATTAGAAGACCTTAAATATGAGGTTTAAACAAAGTGAGCATCTTTAGGATATAATATGCAAATAGTCACAACTGTTCTTTAGGAACTGTGGATCAATATTGGCGTAAAGTTTTCTGCTAACAATCATAAATGAATCACACTTAGCCAATTTAGTGGGAATTACAAAAGAAGTCTAGGGGTACTTGAATGCATCGCCATGCCCTGTCTTTAAAATAAACCAACCATAAAAATAGTGAACGATCAAACTGGCCAGACGACAAGAACCTCTGACCCGAATCAGAGAGGAGGAGAAAATAATTAACACAACAAACTGATCGTTGTTAGACTGAACATCACCTGTTAAAGATTTGAATCTACTTTTTGATTAAGTAATTAGATTGGGTTATAACAAACAGCTTATGGCATTTTAATGACACGCTACTGAATTTGTGTCTTTGTACTGATATTTGTTTTCTCTAATAGCTGCAGAATACACATTAAAGATGCGCACCAACAACCACTAATAGTCAAAACGGAGTCTAATGCACAAAAGGGAAATTAAAATGTCTAAATGTGTGAGGGAGTTATCGGTTCTACCAGATGTTGCTTTGCTGGGTCTGATCGGCTATCAGCAGGTTTCCATGAACCTCGTCCACGAGCTCGGGAGCGATCCAGCGCAGCGGCACGTACGTCTGATCCGAGGTCACGTAGAAATCATCCTGGTAAAGAAGAAATGTTAACATATTTCATGATTTGATTCTGAAACACCTGAGTTGTGCATTACAAATGTTAGCAGGGATAAATCCAAGTTATTTTCCTGCCCTTGTCAGACAAGCAAACACAGTTTCTTCAGCAACTGTGCAGCTTGTATTTGGGAACTTTGTGTGGGTCTTACCTTATACTTTGTGTGCGCCAGACTGTAATCTCCGATCTTCACTGAGATGTCAGCGGTCAGCAGGCAGTTCCTCAGAGCCAGGTCACTGATGAGAAATGCAGATAAACACCTCTAACACAGCTGCACCATTTAATAAAATATTACACAGGATAAGATCGTGGATGCTTTTGTTTAAGGTGTTTCAGCTGCTACTGGTGATGGAACATCACGCCTTTTCACCTGCAGCATTAAAGGCTGTACCTTTAATTAAAGCTGATCTGGAGAGGAGTGGCCACCGCCTGCAACAAAATCACTGATGCTGGAGTCAATAAGCAGCACTCAGGCAGCACCAGGATGTTGTTTCAGGAAGCAACTGGAAGCAAAGTTGGTGCAGCAGCTGGATTTTTTTTTTTATTGTAAGTCATACAAATGCTAACTAATCAGTAGCAGCAGCAGCAGCTTGGGACTACCTGTGGGTGAAGTTGTGTTTGTGCAGGTGCAGCAGTCCTGATGCAATGTCACAGGCCATCCTTTGCAGAATCAGGGGCTCAGGGGTGATCGCCTCGTTCGACCTGCAGCTTCGGAGGTAACCCTTCACATCCCCCTGGACACAGCAGAGGAAAATAAGACACTTGCATGTTACAAGGTTTGACCACTGGAGGGCGGTGTTTGGCAGTGAACTGCTCTTTGTGGCCTCCATTTCCTGTTCAGCTTAAGAAGTTTGCATGAAGGAGAAGTAGATCTTCAGATTTATGTGGCGATCTGTGGAAGAATCCAGCGAGTTCAACTCAGACTGACGGTCTCATCTAACTGTTGGCTCATTGTTTAACAACTCCAAAGACTTCAGCACAAACAGCAGCTTCTTTTCCTGTGAAGCATTTCTTGCCTCTCTTTCTTCACATAAAATAATCTTGTGTATAAAAAAATTCAACCTTTTGGGAGTGGTGATGGTTATAAAGTCTAACAGCTGCTGGGAGAAAGGACCTGCCATATCAATAATTTAGTTTACAGCAGATGCTAAGAGATCAAAAAGCCATAAGAAATTACCTTCTACCTGATCAAGTTCACAAAATATTCCACCAGTTTTCTAAGTCAGTAAAATTGTTCAGTGCTCCTGGAAATGCAATGGATGATTTGGCTAAAAAATCAATTGCATTTATTGTTTCAGAACAAAAGAGAACGTATTGCATTTTGTCCCAGGAAGCCTGGAAGTCCAACTAAATGGTCAAAAAACAAAAAAGACCCCAGCTGAAAATTAATTAGATTCGAAGAAATTGTCCAATTGTATTCCTTTTTTTTAAGTGAAATAAATATATCAGGGTAAATAATCTATCAGATACAGGAGAAAACTGTTGAATTTTATCATTTCTAGTATCCAGTAGCTGCCAGCTTCTGTGGGACAAGATCATTAGAGAATTAATCTACAACTCATCTAAATGTTTCAGGCTTGAAATAAAAGGAAAGGTCCGACTGTCAAACGTTCATATTGTGTCACTACTAACGGAAGGATATGAAGTGTTTACAAGTGTTTTTAAGAGTCAAGTCTGTCCTGATTGATGTTGTGTGTTTATGGATGGAGACTCACCAGTGGACAGAACTCCATGACCAGCAGGTAGGGAGTGACTTCAGTGCACTGGGCCAGGCACTGCAGCAGAGCCGGGTGCTGGAGCGTGCTGGAGCGCAGGAAGAGCAAAAAGCACTTAAAGGCATTTCTCTTTAAACTGACAGAGAAAGCACAACTTTCTGAACATTACTGTGGACACATGCATGTGTTTGTTTATTGCATCTAGGACCTGAATGCATCGAAGGCTCCATATTTGCTCTGATGATGAAATCCAGCCTGGATTTCATGAAACTGGGAGAGCAGTGTCTGGAATAAGTTGGCTTCAGTGATCATATGTGAAAACTCTTGGAAATGGATTTGCAATAAATAAAATGTTCATTTATTGCTGCTGAGGTCGTTTTTACAAAGCTCAACGTTTCCATTTACGAAATCGTTGGATTTTGCATTTTTCATCCTCTTAAAGATTTATTTTCAGTTTCAGGAGTGTTGCAGTATTTAATATTTTCTATTCATACTTTGATATTCTTTGTAATCTCTATGTCAGAGTTTCTCTAGGAGCATTTTAAAAGGGAAGACATTTTCCCTCTTTATCAGTTCAATTGATAAAGAGGCCAGATGTGGTACTGGGTGTAAAGTGTTACCGGTAAGGCTGAGCTTCCTCCAGGAAATGCATCTGGTCCTGCACGCTGGCGCTGACTTTGAGCTCCTTCACTACCACTTGGGTGGTGTTCAGGCCCGTGTTCACCTCCCCGAGCAGAACCTGGAACAACGCAGGCACAGACGAATGCATATGGGGAGGAAAGAAGCACACACACACACACACACACACAGAGAAACACCAGTAAACCCATTCACACAAAGACGTGAAGCAGACACACATGCATGGACATACCCAGTGAAGGTACACAGGGATGGAAAGGGCGGGTGTATTTGTGTGAGACGAGTCAGAAACAGACAAAAGACAGGGAAGGGTAGAAGGGAGAAAAATGTTAACTGGTTGCAGAAACATGAGGCTTTCCTACTGGCAGTGACAGCTTCTACACACTGTACCAGTGCAATATTTGTACTCAGAGCTGCGCGCGCCGCCTGTGGAACAAAGCAGCTGTTATTTATCGCACCACAGGCAACACATTGAATTACAGGAGGGTCCTTGGTGCAACTAAGGGTGTTTTCACACCTGATAGTCCGTCAGACTCGGTTCGATTGGGGAACAAAATTGGAACATTTGTTGCATTTTCAGCTGGTGTGGTTTGCCTTCACACAGCACTGTGTCAAACAAATTAAACCCACAGGAAATCCCACTTAAGGAAACAGCATGGAAACCTCAGAAGAAGACATGAGAGCAACTTCCTTTCTTCACAACATGAAAACAAAAATGGAGTAGCGTAAGATTTTAGCGGTTGTAAGATTTCTCTTCCGTCTTTGGTGAAAGACCATGAGCAATTTCTCCCGCTTGTGTGTTTGTTTAGGTTCTGTTTACCCAGAACACCCGGCGCTGTAGTCCACTTCCTGCTTTTGGAGCACCCTTTGATCTGCTTGGCTTCTGAACTGCATCAGAGGTTGATTGCGCGTTCACACCTCCCAAAATAAGCCCAGACTTTCTTGGCAAACGAACTGAAGTTTGATTAAAGTGTGAATGCACTCTAAAAAACTACAGGTGGTCTTACCTTCCCGAACCATCCATGTCCGATCTCCTTCAGGTAGAGCAGACTGTGGCGAGTCAGTTCAGAGGACTTCAGCAGCTGGGCTGAAGGAGGAGAAGAAGGAGAAGAAGAAGAAGAAGAAGAAGAAGAAGAAGAAAAGAAAGACTTGATTGAGCCGTTCAGCATGCTTTAACACATTTCCGACAAACCGCATTACGCCAGAGAACAACTGATAAATTTCCTGATCAGGCTGGTGTGCAGCTGAAATGCAAATTGCTCATGAGAATCCATTTGGCTGAATACGGACTGCATTCATTTAAATGCATTGTAAATCATAATCAGAGGGCTGAAACGCCAAACAGTGTTTTGGCGTTTATGCTGCGTTATCACACAACACAGGGTAATGTGAATGCACGGCTGCTGAATGCTCTGATGGATCTCGTTGCACAGACAAGCTGAAATAAATGTCAGCGCTGATGGATGGAGACGCTGGAGATTGAATGGCTGAGAAACAATCTATACCCTTGTAATCTGAGGCATTTAAAACTGCAGCACAACAAAATGAGCTGCGATTGTCTGACTTTTCAAACAGCAACACATTCTTATGATAGAGAATCAGGTTAGATTTTACTGAAAAAGCTGCAAAAATGCACAGAAAGGTGTTGAAAGGAAGTCCCTCGGAAGCTAATTAAAGAAACTCAAGGCTACTACATAACGCACCACATCTGAGCTATTAGGTATCCACTCTCAGCCGTCTCTGAAGTGGATTATCCCAACATGCTGGTCGCTGAAGAGTAAACACAACATTCTCCATTGTGTTTGATCTGTGCTGGTCTTTCCGTGGCACCGAGCTGTCAGACGGTCCGGTTATCCGAAGCATCGCTGTCAGCACCCCCTGAAGACTTGCACCCATCCTGGCTGCAGAAGGTGTCCTGCCGTCCCATCTCAGTCAAACCAACCGACTGCTGCATCTCCCTCTCCTCCCCTCCCTGCCCTTTCCTTTGGTTTCCATCTGCATCACCCTCCATGACACTTTCGATTCTGGTAGTAAAGCAACCAACAAGCAGATCTTTGTCCAGTCCGGTCCCTGTGTGGAGGCCTTACTGGACCCCCTACGTTCCCTTCTACAGATTGGTCATTCTTTACACCCACTTTCTCCCCGGCCCAACAGCAGAATAGTCGCCATTGTCTGGCCGCGTAGGACAGCACGGTACCAGTTAGGACCAGCTATGGCGCACACACTGGGACTATTATCTCCCAGCTGCATGACAAAGGAATAAACAGCGCCAGGCGAAGGGTTCCACCTACGGCGACATGTTTCCCCTCAAATATTCATAAATCTAACAGAACAATGGGAGAAACATGAGGTGTTCTGTACCAGACTGCTCCCGCTCCAAACCTGTGGCGGTTTTTCATAAAAGCTACTAGGAACGTCTGCTGCAGCAAACACAAACCGGTTTCTCTACCAGCGGTCTCATAGTTAGCGTCAGCCTTTCCTCCATGGTCAAGTCTACGATGTGGAGATCAGTCACAGTTTCCAGAGTTGTGCAAGATCAATCTTCACAGCAACTGGCAGAGTTCAGCGCTGGTTCAAATGACCTCATGTTCACATTTTGCAGATCCACAGGTTCCCTTCCTGTCCCCAGGACATGTTGATGTACAATATTTATAGTTGGAACTGTGTGCTAACTGTCTTTAAATTCTTCAGGTCAATGTTGCTAATTAGTATTGCCGTTTCATACCTATGCATTTCCATTTGGCTCCTTCCGTTTTATATTTTGTACCTTTGCAAACAAACCATTTCACATTCAAACTATTGCAGAACAGTGTAGCTTGCTTTGGTATTTTCATGACCTATTGAGATAAATAGTAGTAAAAATGGATAAATCTCATCTTTGAACTGCTTCTAATTTTCAGAAGATTTTGTATTGCAGCCTATTTCCATTTATTTTGTTCTGATTCTGTTTTTGCCAGTTAATTCTTCAAGATTATGATCATTGCTCAAACCACAATAATTATGAGAAACCTACTTCTGGTGTGCATTTAATGGAGTCAAGTAACCATATTTCTTTGCAAAACACACTGAGTAGAACATAGAAATTTACTTTAAAACCTCTGTCCTCAAAGCTGTTATGAAACATCTCCCTGGTGGGGACAAATTAAAGTGCCTTTAATTTGTTCCATTGGACCTAAAATAATAATTTGGACCTAATATTCATAATTAGACTGTAATATTAAAGAGCATCTGTCCACATGTTCAAAAACTAGAGTAGATGTCTGAATACATAGAAATAGTGATGGTGTGATGGCAGAAGTATCTGCAGGCTGTTTAGCGAGGAGCAGCGTCTAAACACTGCAACATGTTTTGGTCTCTAGTGAAATATTTAACCTAGTAAAATTTACAGGGGCTTTGTTTATCCATTATGTATATTGAAAGTAAATTGTGTAGCTTTAAATAGCTCTAGGACGGGAATCTGCTCCCCAACATGTCGACATGCAGACTCCGCCACTTCCTGTTGCCTCTGACGGCCAGCCGGTTTCCACAGGCCTTTTATTTTTAAATTTAACAAAAGTGGCAGGATAATTTCTCAGCAACAACTGCAGAAAAAAAAGTATGGGTAAAAACACAAATCTGTCCAACACTCGAAGGAAAAAAAAAAAAAAAAAAAAAACTTTTTACAGATACATAAAGTAACTCGAGCTCCGTTTGATGGCAGCATCTCTGCATCTCCACACTGATTGTTGCTGAGTACCAAAACAAAGAGCCTCTCTGTTACATAATGGCTGCTGAAGCCGAGATGTTTTTATCGCGATGCATTTAAACCACTCAGAGCCGAAAGGAATTCCCATCATTCCCACTCATCCCAGTGGCTCCAGTCCTCAACTGATCGTTTAAAGGTAAAGTTTAACCCTCTAAATGCAGAACTGACTTGCAAACGGATCCCATTAAAAGTGCTCGGTCACTCCCTCTGCGTGTATTTAAACATCGGGGAACTTGTTTTTGTGCTCGTGTGGATTCCTGCTCCCGTGTCTCCTCTGAATGGGTGTCAGTTTCATTCGATTCACACAGCAGCCTGCAGCACTCAACAGCTGCGTCAGGGCGGGTCCTTTAAATGGAGCCTCTGTCTGAGCCAAGCTCCTACAGCACTGATGGCTTATTAAGACCTCCACCTACTCAGTAACACTGGCTGAGAGCAGGCGCTTAACGCAGGGCAGCCAAACACTTCCATGTTGACGGCTTATGAGAAATCTCAGACCTCGTTCTACGCTCCCTGAACCGTTAGATCTCCTCGGTCTCGTTCGGTCTCGGATTTGGCGCCTTCGCCCTCCATTTTTATTTCTTTTGTTCTCTTATTCGTTTTTCTCCACTGGGGCGCCAAAGTTTTTGACTACATTAATCTTTTGCACGTTTTGCTGCATTACCTCAAGCTTCCATTTGTTTAACACAAAGCAGGAGGAGGAGACCCGTGGTGGACCCGAGGGAGTCGCAGAGCCGAAGTTACAATGCAAAACACAGTGTGTGGAGAAAAGCTGATGCTGCACGTCGCCTTGCGGCTTCGTGTCATTTCATAGGTTTTCTTCAGAAGGGGCAGAGAAGCTGGACAGAGTTAATGAGAAGATGTTTGAGTCAAATGCAGAACAATCCTGGAAGGAAGCCTGTTAGCAGCTGCAAAATAAAAAAAGAGAAAAGAAACCACTTGAAACTGTGGAGGATGTTTACTTCCCAGCAGGACACCAACACTAAACACACAACCAGAGTTACAGTGGTTAATATTGAAGCATATTCCTTTGTGAGAATGGCCCAGTCAAAGTCCAAACCTTAAGTTCAGATTTGAAAATTGAAACCCTACATCTACGTCCACTTTGACCAAATTTGAGCTGGCTCTAGATGTGCAGAACGGGTAGAAACATTAACAAGAGACTTGCAGCTGCAACTGCAACACAATACACGTGTTGGGTCACTGCTGAACATAAATGCATGCCACCATGTTGGTCTATTCCATAAAATCCTCCCCCCCCCCCAAAAAAAACACATCGAAGTTTGTGGCTGTTGCAAAAGTTTCAACACTTTTGCAAGGTACGGCGTTCATCATTGCTGTGAAAACAGTTTAAGCTCCGTTTGTGCACAAGTGGCTGCAGAAAAAGCAACGCCGCATTATGTCAGAATGACACAAAGTTCCTGAAAGTTCCCTTAAAACTGAAAGCAGCACCGTGCATCTGATCCAGTTACTCCATAAAAACTAAAATCAATATCTTAAAATGATGTCAGAGGGTGAGGTTGTCCCAGCGGCGCAGTAATGAATCCCTGCCTGCTGTGGCTGCTTCGACATATGGTTTCTATCTTACGCCGAGGACAAAACATGTGTTCAGCAGTCGGTTCGCTTGACGAAAGGCAAACATGTGCAGAAAGATTTGCTTTTCACTTTCCCTACGAAACTTCTTCAAAAAAAAAAAAACATTCAGCGGGACAAATGAGATGATGAATTTCATAGATTCAGAGACGCAGCAGACGTAACAGCAGTTTGAATTAGCTTAGAAATAAATAAGAGAATAAATTTCCTCCAGGATTCTTTGTGCTTGCGAGAGTCGGATCCACCAAGTCTCGTGTCACGAGTTTATCAGGCAGGATCGCTCCCCATAATGCACAACAACTCACATTGTTCCTGAGAGGCAGAAGCACTGGGAGAGGAATACTCTCACTGGGGTTTTGTGCTCTCACATGCCTCACATACCAGCAAACTGCAGCGTAGGCCGACTGCCTGGACGCTATTATGCAACTTGCAGATGTTTGTGGGAGAAAGTTAAAGAGTTCATTCTGCAGTTGCCCTGCAGCGATGAATTATGGGATAGGTGGAGGCCCAACTGACCAGCATCAGGGCGGTGCTCACTCCGGGGAAACGCGGCTCTCCTCAGGCTCCTTTTTTTTTGCTCTCACACCCTTCAAATGTGTGTGTGTGTGTCTGTGTGTGTGCGTGTTTGTGTGTAACAATCTGGCACCTCTGCAGAGCTGCTGCTAGGCTTGCATCATCAATGATATCATGATTAGGTATTGTTCAACAGCGCATTCATCTTCTCAGTCATCGTCGACATCCATCACAGTTAAAGCTGCAGAGGCACACGAAGTGCTGACCTTGTAGGATAGGGAGGCGCGTTGGTGGAGTTTTGGAGGGCGAGAGGAGAGGGAGCCGAGCTTTGACTCACCAGATCGGGCCGGCTGCTTGGTGGTCGGCAGGGAAACCTCGGTGAGCGGCAGGACGTAGACGTCCGGAGTGCCCTGGGAGACGGTGGAGGCCAAGGTGGACATGTCTGCGTGGTACTCGTCACAGTCCACATTCTCGAATTCCTTAAACAAGAAAAACACACAAACTCTTTAAAAGATGTACAGATGAGCCTGCTACTTGAGTCGGAAAAGGAAACAATGTTTTTATTATCTCTATTGTTTTCAACCTACTCAATGTCGGGAATTTTAAAATGTTAATTTTCTAACTTTCTACGAGAGCCAGCTGTGCTACAATGCTAAAGCTACTTCCGTGTGAACGAAAGATGTAGTTTCAGATTCAATGCTGATTTAAACAAAAACCTCATTTAGAGATTTTCACCACAGTTCAAAAAATCTCAGTTAAACTGATTAGGTTTCAACTTCAAAGCTTATTTTTACATCAATTTGATTTCATAAAGTGCTACAGCTAATGTAATTTTTGTTAAACTCTTCATTAATAATGCAATGAAGCAATGAAATAGAAAAAAGATGCACTATACTTTGCATCTTTTTTTTATGTCTGAATCTTGTTTGTCTAGCTGCCGTATCTGATCGCCACCACCAGGGGGAGCTACCCACTTCTCATGCTATTTCCCGACATAAATAGCAGAGTATTTGAGTGAACTGACCTTTAGCCACCATGTAGCCAACATGTCGTATGTATACCACTATTGCCTGTTGATGCAAATCCAACACAATCATAATTTTTCCTAAATTTCACACTAAAACAGATAGCAGTTAAGTTACAAGGGATAAAAGGGCTTTAAGTTTGTCACTGAAAAAGTTAAAATATACGTCCTTCATAAAGACGAAGTGGAGTCTGATGACAGTTTCTATTTCTGCCGGGTTGATTCTGGGTCTACATGGCCAAATGTTTGTTTTCCCAAAGTGTCCTGAAGTAAGCTCCAGTCTGGAGTTTACTATAATAATAAATAAATAATAATGTACTAATGTGATGAGTAAATAATTATCATCTGTTGGTCAAATAAAGTAAATGTACTGGTTTCACTTATTTTGAATGACTTGAGCAACCAGATATCTTTGATTTTCCGCTGATATAAAACGTGGAACGTGTCTGGTTTTTCTGGCCCAAAAGTCGAAGCGGAGCCGAGATAAACTGCAGCAAGCTGTGCTGGCCCGGTTCTGTTTTCCTGTGAGGCCATTGGAGAGTCAGAGCGTAAACAGAGCCGGTCCGTTAAATCCAGGGATTATTAGCTCCGAGGCTACATGTTTCTCACTCCTAAACTTCACAGATCAGACTGCAGATATTGATCCTCAGGAACCGTTTGGAAATCAGACCGCAGACGAACGCTTCTCCTTTTTACTTCAAAAACAACTTTTTATGTTTTACAAAGAACAAACAGTGGCGAAATAAATCAGATTATCTTTTTCTGAATGTGACAGTGTGAACCCGTCTGTTTAACTCGCATCCCCTTCTCAGGGCACTACAGCGATCTGCGCCTGTAATCTAATTAAAACAATGATGAGATGTCAGAGAGAAACCATTGGAGAGGCCAGAGGGTCATGGAACGTGATGCAACACAGCGCTGCCCCTCCCCAACGTACTGCTGCGAAACTGCTAGTCAGCTATCAAAGGAATAAAGGTAAAAACATGATTTTAATTATGAAAACAAAGACATGTAAAAAGTGAAAATCTGCCGTTCTGGATGTGAAAACATTCAGCACTGAGAATAATCAGCTGATGTGGTTCGGGAATATGATGAAATGCCTTCTGGATGCCTCGTCGACTAAGACGAGACCTTAAAGATGATCCAGGAATGAGGAGCAGGGATGTGCTGATGGACAGATGAATATCAGTTTCCTTCCCTTTTTTTAACACTTTATTTTCAGATTTTAATAATACGAAACTGACAGCAGACAGATATAAGACACACTAACAGCACATACCAACCAGCAGTGCGTCGTTTGAACACCAAATGTGGAGAAGAAGAAAAAAAAAACCCAGCTGCAAATTATAGAAGCAAGATGTATATATCCTGGTGTAAACATCTAGATCTGAAATTGTGACAACCAATTATCTCATAGTGACAGAGCTACTCTGTGAATTATAATGTATTAACATAATCAAGAAGTTCTAGTACTTATTATTACGTCTCTCAGCCATCGGATAAAAGACTGTCGAATATCCTTCCTGGTAAAGAGTATCAGGAACCAAAGGCAATGGTATTAGACTGATGAGAGGTTTGTTGGGTTAGGATCCAAATCTCTTTTACAGACATGAGAGACGTTTCAGTACCTGTTTTGATCTAAAGTAACTCGATGGATGTTGCAGACTACCTGCCCGACTAATCGCTATCTTTTTCCTTCAAGTTACAAAACTGTGAGAATTTTACACTGTCTTCAGAAATGAAGTCAAGTTGTTCTGTAAGAACCAAAAGTAAAATATCACTCCAAGTCTTTTCAGAAGACACTGATAACGTCTTCTGAAAGATTTCTTTTGTCCGCGGTGAACAGCAGCACAGCTGAGGATGGGGAGGAGGGAGGGAGGCAGTTGGCTGCGTCCACAGGCCGGATGTCAGAATAAAAGTCCCTCAGATGGGATCTGGAGGGCTGCGGGGTCCCATCACTGGAAAAATGTGACCCGCTGCAGCCCTCTGCAACACCCACACAAACACATGCGCACATAAACACCTCCGTCTCCCGCTTCCTCCTGTCCCCCAGGAATGCGAGCACACACACACACACACACACACACACACACACACACACAGGCCCCGGACCCCTCCTTTTGCCTCCACTCCAAACCTTCACACGGCCCCGCTCGCCCCCTCTCTCACATCCAACATGTGTTTTCAGTCTCTGCAGCCACACTCTGTCACAAACATACACAATGTTGCATTTAAAAAAACAACAAAAAAAAACTCGACGTGGCGCTCAGTTTGCTTCCTTCTTCTCTGAAAAAATTCAATTTTGTGAACTGCAAATAATCTCTTCTCCAAACAGTCAAAATAAATCAAGAAATATGTCATTGCAGAGAGAACTTTGCAACCTTTCAACACATGCATTAAACTGGGATGCAACATTTTCAACTTTGCAATGAATACATTTTTTTAACAAATCTTCTAATTGAATTCTTCTGAAAATTTGAAGTCCTGCATGAGCTTACCTTCTCCCAAAGATGACAAACACCCCCAAATTCATCATTTCAGCCTTTTTCTTGGTTTCCCACAACCACACACACACACACACACACACACACACACACTGAGAGGTGATGAGGATGGCTGAGGGAGTGAAAAGTTTCATCATTCTGCTGAGAGAAGAAGAGGAAGAAGCTCTGCAGCTGACCACAGACTGTCCCCAAGTCTGCCAGGATGGAGGGATGAAGGGGAGAAAAAGCTAACAGAGGAAGGGAGAAAGGAAGAGGGAGGAGCGCAGAGGCTCCCAGTGCACAGCCTGGAGCGGACCTCTGGTCATCTGGAGAGGGAGAGGAAAGACGCCAAGGCCTCCCAAAAATGTGAGAAAACATACAAAGAGGAGGAGGAGGAGGAAGGAGAGGAGGGGTTCACATACTGCACATGTGACATCACTGGATGTCTTCGTGTCTGTCCTGAAAACTCCTGCAGGACAGTCACCCCGATGTGTACCGAGAAAAACATGAGCGCTATAAGCCAAAGTCTGACTCTGATGTTTCACATTTAGTCCAAGATGTAATTAAAAACAGTCAGAGTGGATTTTCCTGTTTATCTCTACGGCTTCAGGCGTTTTACTGCGACGCTTCTGCAGCGTTTTGTGTTAAAACTGCATAATGTCGCAGAAAAAAACGTGGGCTTTTCAGAATCGCGAAATCTCACTTGGAAACCTGATTTTCAAGTTTCCGTTTCAAGAGTCAGAACAGAATCTACTGTTACATAAATATCACTAACGTCAAGCTTTTTACTACTCATTTAAATCACTCTTCACTAAGAGAGAGCAATTAAACAACTTCAGGCATTCTTAAACACAGGAGTTTTGTCCACAAATGTTCAAAACTATGCAAGCTTAAAAATAAAAATAGACCTCTGGCTAATATTTGGGTATATTTCAGACGTTTTGAAGCTGTCAACAAACTCTGGCTCAGTATTTGACTACTTTTCCTGGCAGTGTTGGTGGAGATCATTTAAATTGGTTGGTACCAGCAGATTTCAGAAAGCCATATTTAAGACTTTTTAGGATCTTAAATGAAATGAAATTTAAGACAGAAAAAACACCATGTACTGGGCCTCAAACATAGTCCACAACTTCTCAGTTACGCTTTTGTCATTTTTACACCAATGGCAAACATTTATCAGATGCAGTCGGCATTTGCTGAACTTTTGCAACGTGACAAATTATTGGAATTAATAAAAATGGACATAAAAGTACAAACTGTGGAACTCGTGAGATTTTCACTTTTCAGATCTGTTTTTTTTTTTTCGTCTAAATGAACTCCAACAGCCAGTAGCATTGGCAGATGCTCCATCACAGGACGAGTCCTTGTCTGTTTTTTTTTTTTCAGTAACACAGAAAGCCTTTTCTATCTTCGCCCTTGAAGTCTTTTTTTTTTCTTCGTCTCTTTGAAATTCCCTCTTCCTCCTCTGTCAGAGGCAAATGGGGCCCTGAGGCCGGAGGCACTGTGAGCTCATGAGAAAACCCTTCCTCACACACACTCAGTCCTCCTCTGTTCCCACAATCCCCTCACCGCACTCTGAACACACCCTGAACACACCTGAACACACCTTCATCACACCTTGATCACACCCTGAACACACCTTGATCACACCCTGAACACACCTTAATCACACCCTGAACACACCTTAATCACACCCTGAACACACCTTAATCACACTCTGACAGGTTTCAGACGAGTGACCATCATAAAGTCAAACAAAGTTAAAGAGGAAACTATCTTCAATCAGAAGCAGCAGTCTGAAGTGGTTTTGGTCATGAATAGGGTGAGGTCTGGTCACATCAATTTTCCTTCCCTATGTATTAAAATTATTATTAATAAAATGTGTAACACTTTATTTGAAGGGTTGTACATAGGACTGACATTACACTGTTATAAACATGTCATAACACCTGGTATGAACATGAAGGAGTCTGATGACTGGTGTGATGAAGTGTCATTCGGTAAATAATGAGGCTTTTAATGCAAAGTTGTACTAAAGTCCATTAAAAGTCTCAACTTTGCAACATTATTTACCGAATGACAACCGTCATAATCATTCAATAAGACGTCTTTATGTTCATAACCGGTGTTATGACAGTATTATGTCAGTCTTATGCACACCCCTTCAAATAAAGTGTTACCATGAAAGGCCAGAAAACATTCAGCAGTAACCAGTTTTGTGTGAAGAAGTAAATCTCACTGTGGATTTCTGAAGGCAGCTACCCTTCGACAACTAAAAATATTGGTTGTGACTCTCGTCAAACTGAACAAGATAGTGTTTGACACTACAGGATTAGATTCACTAAGACAAATAATTAAAAAAAAGATTAAAATTCCTGAATTAGTTTAGGTTGTTCCGGGTGTAGACGGGACTGTTTCAGACCTGGATCCGGTTCTTCTCCGTCACATCTTCCAGCTCTTCCAGTAAAATGTCTGATCTTCCTGTCTCTGTTGTTATTTTTACAGCTGATTGCGGGGCAGGCAGACAGTTAATTTAATCAGGGCAAATTGCAGTTTGCTGTGGGTTCCTGCAAATGGGTTTAATCTTACAGTTCTAATCAGCTAAGTGAGTCTTTATGAACCGTCTTTGCATGATTGTGGATGTAAAGCAGAATATAAGAAGGAAATAGTGGAGAGGATTCACAAAATGACCGTTTTTAAATCACTCTGAACCAGCAGAGAGTTGTGGATCCTGCAGCACTTTAGTCAGGTCTTCAGCATTTAAAATAAATGAGCTGGTGTTAATTTAGATCCAAACCACAGCAGCAGCACAGAGGATCCTCACATTCAGTCAGACATACCTGACAAATAGCATGAAAACTTAAAAAAAGAGGAGAAAATAGCAGAAAATGTGAAGATGTACCCAGAGGCTAAACGCTCCTGATCATTAAACCAATCCCTCATCTCTCCAAGCCTTTGAGCAAAAATTGTTTATCTTTATCTGCTGCGTTCAACACAGTTTAACCAAGTAAACACTGTTTAAGCCGACGATAACTACGTTAATTTGTTGCATTATTTTGTAAAACAAAGTGTGGAATAACTCAATCTCTCCTGCCAAATCCCAGCAGAGAGGCTTGTTGTGGAGGAACTCTCAGAAGTTCTAATGAGCTGCATTAAACATGAAGAAACTCGTTCCTCTGTAGACTGTTTTCCCAAAAACACATTTTCATTCTTATTCTCATGCTGAGATCTTCAGATGTTCTGTTTGGACCCAACAGGAGCCTAAAAGCAGCAGATATTCCTACGGCTGACAGTCCTTGTCAAATACCAGCTGAACATAAGCAGTCGTGGCACCGAGCTGCTGAAAGCTGGTTCAACTGTCTGCAGGTATCAATGATGCATGAATGTTTATATCTAGGATTTAAGAAAATAAGTTTATCAAACATCAGTTTTCACTTGTGTGAACTCCACAGCAAGCAAAAAATAAATAAAAATAAAAATAAAAAACAACGTATGCCACCATTTTTTCTTCTTCTGCCCTATTTCACTTGGCGCCGTGACCCAGTTGGTTTCTCTGTTGCGTCCACAAGGCGGTCATGCAGCGCTGCGGGGCCCGCACCGCTCCACAAACACAAACTCATCCCGCTTTGTTTGCTGCTCTTCCTGCTTCCCATCTGCATAAACAACACCGGATGGCTTCCATCCAGCGGACGAAGAGATGCAGCGAATCCCTCTGTCCACTCAGCTTCAGTGAGTAACTCCAGATTAAATTTCACTTTACCATTTGTGTGCTTTTAAAGTTTTTTTAAGCCTTCATTTAATATAACTGTACGCTGTTCTAATTCTTTTAAAAATAGATTTGCTCGTCTTTTCTCAGTTTTTATCCAAAGCTCATCATGCTTCCCACCTTGAACCCCATCTTGCCCTTCTTGCAGCAGAGGCACGCCAGCATGAGGAAGACGAAGGTGAAGAGACCCGAGAAGGAGATGGCCACCACAGCCAGAGAGGACGACCAGGAGAGCTCGCTCAGTGGAGCGCCATCTGCAGGACACAGAGAGCAAAGCACAATGTCAGCTGCTGAACTCAACGCTGTGTGATAATCTGATAAGGTGCGTGTTGGAGCATGTTGTAATTTATATCAGCAGCAAGACTAAAAAGCATTAAAAACGGAGGGTTTTCTGTTGCCTTTTTGATGAATGTTCTGCTGTAGAGATGTTTGCATGTTTGATTTAAAACCTAGCATCTTGCTTGTGTTGGGAATGAAATACTCTGAGACAATATAGTCCTGCAGATTTTACTCACAGAACAATAAAGTCGAAAGTCGAATAAAAGCCCGGCCCCATAACGCAGGCAGCACATTTTCTGCTCCACCTCGCTTTTTCATTAAAGTTTTATTTAGGGGGCCCAGAAGTGATTTTCTTATAAATACATTTCTCTAAATTTCATCTGTTTCCCCCCCAAATAAAGTTCAGACTGAATACATTAGGAATTTATGAGGTTGTGAATAAAGTTTAAAGATATTTTTGTGTCACTGCGACACTGCAGTGGCCCAGAAACACACTTGCACTGTGAAACGTCGGCCTGAGAACACCCAGACCTTTACTTGAATTTAAACTTTTTAAGTATGATCTGCTAGGCTTTTTCATAAGAATCCAACAGACCTGACAGTGCAGCGCTGCATCGAGAGCATTCAGATGGAAACTGAAGGAGTCCCGGTTCAATGAGGAATGTTACATCGACTCAATGTTTGCAATATTTTTGCAAGAACTTTAAGGTTATTTCTATTTTTTATGAATGACAAGAAAGCAGAGTAGTAATTCATGAGCAGCTTTAATTTTGAACTATGAAGCTGAAGTTAAGGAAATGATCACAGCAGAGGAGAAAACAGAAACAATAATTTACAACAAAGCAGAATCACAGAAACCATCGGAGATGTTGAACCCCCCCCCACCCAAAAAAAAAAACCCCAAAAAAACAAACAGAAAATTTAAGAAAGAAATTCTCGACTAAGAATTAAACACATCAAAGGCCGTGATCCAGAAAAATAGAGGTTCATTCAATTATGTCGACGCATCTTTGAGACAAATTATCTGCAGTTTATATAAATATTTTTTTTTAGAGATTTCAGGCTCACTTCCAGAGCACAAAGAACGAGATGTTGTGACAGACAAGCTGTCCAGATGTAAGGCCAGCAGAGAGCAGCATAAAATCTAGAACAAGAGTTTTTGTCTAGTTTCTGGTGCAAATACCTTCACACACTCAAAACAAGACAAAACTAACTTAGAAGTAACTTTCTTTTTTACAAACTAGAGGAGCTTTTTAAAGTTATTATCCCTTCTAGTTCCACTGGCAGATTATTTCACTTATAAAAATACATGTTTCCATGTAATAAGTGAACAAATTTGGCAGAGAAAGTAGTATTTTCTCATATAAGATCCTATATATTCCTCAAATGTATGTTAGTTTGTGTATTACTACATTGCAAGCGTGCCAATATATTTGTACTAAAACTAGACCAAAAATACTTGGTGAAATTTTGTGTTTTTACAAAACAAAAAGTGCAGAAGTGAAATGTATTTAAATATACAGAATATTGCTAGCTAATTTTCTGGCTGCATGGAAGATACTTGAAGGTTTAAGGAGACAAAATATAGAAAGAACAAAAATATGATTTAAGCTATATCTTCACAAACTGAGTAAATGTTGAAAATAGTAATTTAGCTGCGGCTTGACCAGTATTATGTGTTTTAGGATTTATCGAACCAAAAAATGCACTAAAAAAAAGTTTTTTTTGGCTTTTTGCATCTTTATAAATATTGCATTTTGCTTTAAAAAAAAAAAAGTAGAATAACCCAGTGCGTTGTGTTTTAATTTACAGATGAAAGAATCTGCCTGTGATTTGACGGATGTGCAGCGTTTCGTTTGCAGATGCATTCAGCAAAGTCTTCGGGGCAGCGCGCGTCGCTGGAAGAAAAACCAAGGAGCCCTGGAGTTAAATCCGAAGTGAGACATAGAGGTAAACAACATAAAAGTTTAATGCATTTAAGGAATCACATTTGTTCTCCCCGTCGAGCCGTTTCTATTGGACCGTTTCCCGTTTTCCATCCCATCGAGTCCCTTTGACCACAACCATGAAGCAGGAAGCTCACCGCCGGGGAGACGGCTTCGAGCATCTCCTCCCGCCTCACCAGCAACCCGCTTGCAGCATCACTACAGCTTTCATTTCCCTCACTTTCCGACGGCTACCCGAAATGCAAATGGTTACCATGGAAACAGAAAGCCAAGCAGGATTGCTTTTAGCTGTAAATCTCTCACATCGATTCTGCCGACAGCCCTGCCACCCAGCTGCACACGCACGCACGCACGCACGCACGCACGCACACACACACACACACACACACACACACACACACACACACACTTGGTGCTGCTGATCCACTACATTCTGGTGCAACTTGCTCTCATGACTATCCAGCATTCAAGCTCTTAGTTTAATTGGAAAGAGAGTAAACACTGTTGTATAAAGAGGCTGCTTGGCACAAGTAAGAGGGAATTATAGTAGAGAAATAATAATAATAACAATGACAAAAACATGGTCATTTTAACTGAAACAAATGGTCAGATCTGGGCATTTTGAGATTTTATTTCACCTAGTGCTACTTTCACATTTGTGTCCTCCTTCTGCACTATAAAGTGCAACATGAAGCCGTGTGCAGCTCTATATGAGGAACTATCCGGAGCGCTGAAATGCTACATAAGGCCATTCAGATTTAATTACTCGTTTGTCAGGGGGATAATTATGGAGAGCCAAGGATATTCTTACCAAGTTGTGGTTTATGTAAAACTCCCACGCTTCCCACCTCACCCAGCAGCAGAAAACAGAGCCTGACTGTGCGAGTACTATTAATATTTAAAGATGCAGCCGCGGTGCCTGTGCAGGAAAGCTTTTAAATCCTGGCACTACGTGAGTTTTTTGAGCAAATACAGGGGGCCCAGAGAAACGGCTAACAGAAACGCAGCCTCGCAAACGGGTTTCAGGATTTTAGACCGACATAAAGAAGCACATTTTGGTGAAGTGGAAGGAAAATGAAAATGAGAACAACTGCTTCGAGATTTTTAGTGATAAATCAAAAAGGCGAAGTTTACAAATAAAATAGAGGGCGACCAATATATTTTAGAAGTCCCCTGTTTAGTCAAGAGAGTTGTGTGATTTAATCATGAACACAGCGGAAAGGTCAGGAAGAGGTTGCTGGGAAGATTAATGGAGCTGGAAGAAAACCTGTTATGGTGGCAAAAGACTTGAGACCGGGGCGGAGATTCACCTCAGCAGAACCACAACCCGAAACATCGGATGTTCAACCGATTCATTATATTGATTAATCAAATGTTGTGTTTTTGAAGATTTAATTTATGGAAAATCTGGATTTTTTTTCCCTCCACCAATGCCCTTCTTCAGAGTGACATTAACTCTCCCAAGACCTACCATCTTTTTTATTTTTTTTATTTATTTTTTTTTACAGCTTGAATGATTGAAATAAGAGCCAGTTTTTTAAAGATATTTTCTGTAATTTGTAAATTTTTCTTAAAGGAAAAGAGTTGGGGTGAAAAAAAACTGATTAAGATTGGAATTTTAGATAAAAAAAAAAAATCTGATTTTATCTTAAGCCAGATTCAGCCAGTTCTAGGCTGAATACAAGCCACACTTTTCAGATCCTAATTTGTAAAAAAAAAAAAAAAAAAAAAAAAAAAAAAAAAAAAAAAAAAGAGAGAGAGAGAGAGAATCCATTACCTACTAATTGTACACTCCTGGTGTCATAAAGTCTACTACATAATTTAATGAAGTTGTTTGCAAACAGCATCAAAGTGGCATAAAAATTTGACTTTGAATACTATACCTGATATTTTACAACACTTTGTTACCCTTTAATTTGATTATTTTTAAAGGTTTTTGTGGCTCTAGTGGCTTTTATTCAACAGTAGATTGAAATGAATAAGAGGAGAAGGAGAGAATTGTTTTGGGAACTTAACCTCGTATATGACGCATCTAAGCCATGTGGTTCTCCTCCACTGTATTTTATCTTTATTACTAAGGACAAAAGCACTTCACCACAGTGCAAGACGCTGCACCTCATACAGATTTCCTAAAAAAAACTAATCTTGAGGTAGATATGCAATTTTAAGTCTTGTACCACTAGATTCCACTTAGTCATACACCTGTTCAAATATATTTTCTATATTTTCTGCAGTCTGTACAACAAGGAGAGTAGAGAATAAAATCCTTTGCCTGGTTAAGATGGTTGCAGCAGTGACAGGAAAAAGGAAGGACATCAGTTTAAGGCTGATTTATTCAGATGAAGAGGCCACAGAGGTAAAGCAAACAGGTGCAGCAGAAAGCTGACGGCAGCAGTTCTTATTTGAAGACAGATAAAAAGGAAATGAAAGAAGGAAAATTAATGTGAGGAACTGGAGCAGTGGCACCAGAACAGCTCCGAGGCCCGACGCAACCCAAACAGTCATCAATGATCCAATAACCCACCAACAAATACCTCTCCACCGCATTTTCTCCTGCAGATATGGAAAATTCACGCGGCCGACTGCCAATTCAAATAAAACCGAGAAGATTCACCCCTCTTAATGAGACAAAATCCAACGAGACAAATGCGTGTGCTGAAGGACACGCACTCAAACACACGACGCGTTTTTGGAGATGCTGCGTTCCCTCTGCCAGCGGTACGAGCGCCACGACACTTCTGGCCTCGAGCCATTTTGCGTCTCCCAAGGCAGAAAAAAGCTGGTGCACATGTCGACGACTGAAAAGAAGAAAATGGGGAGAGACAACAAGGGGTTGGAAGAATTCAAGAAAGCCCCAAAGAGCTCCGATCTCTGCAGCACTCGGAGCTGCGGCCGCTTCGCTTTCCGTGCAGGGGGAGTCCAAACTGAGGCGATCCGACAGGTTCACGTGTTTGTTCTGCTGGAGCAGGACGAGAAGAGGGATAAACAGTCGGTGGGGATTTCTGCAGCCTGATGAGAGCTCTGTCCTG